ATCAAGTAGTTTTCATAAAAGAGAGATTCAGAAAAAAAATTGTAGGTATTATTATTCTCTTTAAATATTCGAAAACAATTTATTTTTTTTTTCAATTAATTCAAATCTTCAATACTGTAAAAAATTAAAGAATTAACCGTCTTAAACAAATTTATTTCCAACAATCAATATTTCACTATCACAAACTAAATTTATTTACAACACATAGCAACTAACGCTTAATTTATTTCCACTATTTGAATTCCTTGTTCAACCTCTCGATTCACTTTCTAAACTGCCCTCTTGGGTTGGGAAGCCGAGCTAATATAATTTAACGATTCTTTCCAGAACTCTGTAGTTGTTTCGGCACTCAACTAGAGTTTTACCGGCGGTTGCCGACTGCATTCCTTTTGTGGTGATGTCATGTGTTTGTTCGCTGGCCGACATATCGGTCAGGACCGAAACATATCATTTCAAAATATGGATGTTCAATTATAATGTTAAGAGTAAAAAAACATTCAGTACCTACTATCTTCCAACGAAATTAATTCAATTAATGATCAAAATACCTACTCGACAAATTCAAAATATTGTTTTACAACCACATAAAAGCAAATTTGGTCAAAAATGTATTTTTCATGATGGTGTTGATTTATATAATAAAATACCTGAAAATAGTAAAATTGGATTACCTATACGAAATTCAAGACAAAAAAATTTTGAAATAGATTGATTATTTTGTAATTTAACATATTTTTGTTTGTTGTTTTATTCTCAGTATGTTTTTTTTACGTATACGTTCCTACTATAATAATGTAGTGTCTCTTGGAAACACGTGTTGCGTTTCTGTGAAACTGTTTAATGCAAATCTCATGCTAAAGTGTTTCTTGAATATGCAATCATTGTTATCAGAAAGAAATATACCATTTGGATAAAACATGCTGAAACCTGAATTATATTCCCTAATAAACAACTAAAAGCTAAACTTGAAGCGGTATGAAATAGATCAGTTCTTTCTAGCAGCAAATCACAACGTTATACGATCACCGCAATATCACCCGGATTTGAATCCAATTGAGTTACTTCAATCTCAACAATGTCATGCAATATTGCGACAATTTTTTTTACCAGTTTTTTCCGAGCAATGGAAATCTCGTTAGGAACCAACGAAATCGAAGTATAGTATGTTATGACCAATATTGCAAGCAGTGTTTTGTAGATTATCTACCTGCTACGTTTCATAATCATTTCTGGTAACTATGCATTCGATTACCTATTGATTATCGATTGTGAGTGTATCCATTTTTTCTCAATTCATTTATCTATAATGAGAATATAGGTATCTATCCTTTGAAGTATTATTATTAGTATTAGCATTAGTACTAGTATTTATCAGTATTAGTATGAGTATTGGTATTAGTATCAGTATAGTATTAGTATTATTTAGATTAAACTTATTGATGAAGTTTACTTCAGCGTGCTTACTGTAATAATTAAGGAAAGAAGATTTCCCTTCCAAAATACAGGGTTGAAACCCAAATTTCACAAAATTCCATTTATAGAAAATTCATCTGATGAACTAGGAATGCTTCTCAGTACAGAACAAATTAAAGTGGCCCTTTTCAAATGAAAATACAGTTGGAAAGCATTTTTTCTCGAAACAAAAAACAAAAACACCGCAAGAAATACTATCCAATATAGTGTGCAAATTGAACTGTGGAAGCTGTCACAAGTGCCATATTGGTCAAACCGAACGGTATCTTAAAACACGAGTTTCTGAACACATGCGAGACTCTAAGAAACTGAATATATGAAACCCCACAGCTCTCGTTGAACATGAACATTTTTGTTTGAAGGTGGTTGACAAAGTTTCGTGGTTTATTTCATCAGTGCAGACTTCCATTGTCTTATATAATATAAATTGATTTGAAACCCCTGAAAAAAAATTAAAAAAGATTAACCGAAAGTAATAATTTTATCAAACAAAAAAAAAACTGAAATTACAAAGAAGTAATATACAAGCCAACAACCAAAGAAATAGAAAANCCAAAAAAAATAAAAACTTTTTCTAAAAAAAAATTATATTTATTATATTTAAATCATTGGTCCACACTTTCCGTCAGGTGATATTTCCTCCAGAACATAAATACCAACCAATATCCCAAAAAAAACTATGATAAATTTCATAGTAGTTCTTCACATCGTTCCATTTGTTGTCGAACTGTGCCCCAATTCATACTGATTTCAAAATA